ACCCCTTATATTATTCAAATGCCAGGGGGGGAAAAAAAAACTAAATCGTTCTAACAATCCCATGTTATATTTTTTCCTAGCAGTAATAAAAGATATTTCACTCATATGGTAACTACATATCTCTATTAGTAGATAAAATTGGCTTTGTCAACTTAATGGAGCAATAATAATAATAAAATAATAAAAGCAGCTAATTTATTAAGCACTTAATATGTGCCAGTCACTGTTCTAAGCCCTTTACACATGTATGAATTCATTTAATTCTCACAACAGAGCTTCGAAGTAGGCGCTGCCATTATTTCCATTAGTTTGATTCCAAACACTTATATATTTTAATTACCCACTAAGACCAAATCATTCTTGCTCAACAACTATGTAAACAATTCACCAATGCCCAAATACGCCTTCATTCCTCTCAGCAATATAAGTAAAGAAGGAAAAAACAGACTATCTGTATAGCCATACAAGTTCAATAAAAGCATCTCTACTAATATGTTCGTTTTTAATGCTGTTCAAACATTCACATGGAAACAGCTCTAGCGTAAATATCCCCGAACAAATGGCTGTATATTATCCAGGAGGGAGCAGTTGGACCGCCAGACTGGGGAAGTACTAGGCCATCTGGCTCCGGCAATCTCTCCAAAACCATCAGCTTTGTTTTCACCCCCAGACTCCAAACAACACATTTTCCACTGTGATGAGTTTACATTTTCCCAAACACAGGTCCTGATCATGCATAAAAATTCCAAACTTCTTCATTCCTCTATGTGCAAGGAAATTTAAATCACCTGCATTTTTGACATGCTACCAAAGGAGAAAGAAAGCTGCTGAAATATGGCCTCTGTCTGTAAACTTGCTCTGTCCTTTTTTTGTTTGTTTATTCTCCCAAATATACGAAGGAACCTCTCTGCTGGCCTAGTGAATTCCTTGGGAACTTATTGATAGACTAAAAATGTGTTTATCTACCAATGAAGAACCATGAACTGGAAGGGTTGTTAATCAAATCTATGTAGCCATGGCAGGATACAATGAAACAATCAATAGGAAAAAAAAATGCACTTGCATCAATAACTTAAAGTACCGGGAACATCAAAACAAATATATAAAGAATTCTGGCTGAGAAGAGAAAGCTGACAGCATTTCTGATTATTGTACCTTGGACCCCGCAATGTGCTGAGACTACCCCTTTTTTAAGGTCCCCTCACCACATCGCCTACCTTCAAATCTATACATACAAGGATTATGTGACTACTATTTTCTCCTTTTCAAAAAAGCTTTCGTTTGGGGGGCAGGGAGTATTTGTTTTGATAACTTTATAATATTTGGTATCCTTTCTTTGAATTATGAAATATCACTCTTTTAAAGCAAGATGGTAGGAGGGAAGATGAGCTAAGTTTTTTAAAAAGCTATTTAAAGATAAATAATTCACTGAAGCAATCAGAGAATGTAATCATATTTCAAATACTATATGCAAATCTGAAATGAAGCCCATTAAACCTCAGACCTCCCCCACTGGGTTCATTTGAGCTTCTGCAGTAGATATTGTTTCTGGATACAACAGCCATAAACTTCTGGATCCTACAGGGCTTTTTGCATGCTCACTAATGGAATACCAAAAACAGCAATGACACGAAAACAAACTATTTTTAGTCCAGCTAAACTTGGTTTTGAACAACCCTTCCCAAAAGCAAGCCTCTTATTTTCTAGTTAGTGGATGAATTTTTAAAATATTATATCCTATGTGTTTTACAAGGGAGGCATAGAAAAAAGGAGCCTCAGATTCTTACAGATTCATTTCTAATGAAGCTTCATCTTTCCTGATAGAGTCCAAAAATTAAGAGCCATTACCCAAAATAGTCTAATGAGACACTTTGAAAAGGTGTGAAATACTGTGTCATACCAATACATCTTGGTTGATTGAGTACATTTCTGTTTGATCTCAATGCTGCTAATTCCACCCAAGATCAGGAACAGTCTATGAAAATGTAGAATGCACAGCTAACTTTGGATTTTGCTTGCCCAAGATTCCTTTTGAGTTTTAACCTCACTTGCGAATCAAGGATATGACATCACACACATAAAGCTGCATCTCTTATATGAAAAATGCTATGATAAATAAGCAGCTAAGAGAAGACACTTGAACAGTGGCTAGGTATTCCTTCCACAACTGACGATGTCGTTAAGACTCATCACATCACCAAAAGTATTCCATTCTGTAGTCTAAATAAATATAAAAATGCAGAGTCTGTCAGGAAGAATTTCACAGGGGGAAAAAAAATGTAACCATTTAATTAGTCGGTTTATGTCAAGCCTGACTTCTGATTGAAGAGGCCACTGCATGCTTAACTAAAATGAAATTTAAGTTATGAAAATAAAATTTAAGAAATTTAAAATCACACTTGGTATTTAATTATCACAGAAAAATTTCAAGCTAGATGAGGATCCACTATTTTATTCGTTAAGGCTGAATATAAAATTATTATTTGTTCATGACACAGCTAGAGGAAGTTAGGCTTCTTCACACTGATCTATCTGCTTTTTGGAGACTATTGTATTAACTGTGTACATAAGAAGCTAACCTACTTCCAAAACTCTTACAGCACGTAATCAAAGAACAAGCAATTGGATAATGAGCAGGGATTGCCTTTCAAAGTGAAAGCTAAAGAGAGGTGGTTATTTAAACAATTATTATGAAAGCAAACAGGTATGTCTTGAAATATCCCTTTTTCTTGATATTTTTAGACCTAGATAATTATTAAGCCTTTTCTCAGGTCACTCCCCACCAAAATATATGATTGCATACATTTATAACTTTAAGTTTTAGTGAGATGTCATATTACAGCAAGTGCTTTCTCATACCTGCTATTATTAAAAATGAACTATATCTTGTTCTTGTTTCTCTCTCTCTCTTTTCTGTCTCTCTCAGCTGACAGAATTAATGATGATACCAAGCAGTTAAAGAACGCCTTAAGCTGCAGTTTTTCTTAAGCTCTATGACCTTGTTAGTAAAATGATATTTGATCTGTTGCTTTATAAAAACAAAAAGATTATTCTTCCACCATTTTAATATGAGTGTGTAAAGTCAGTTCATTTTATAAGGAGAAAAGTCAATTCTTGGAGGTACTATTTGTTTAGAGAGACCTAAATTAAAGTTTTGAGGAGATTTAAATCAGACAGAAGTTAATCACTTCAAAAAACATGTCTTAATTTTGTGCTCCTTACAATCATTTATTTCATAGCGTTGCCTATAATTTAATATTTAGGTGGTCAATGTGCACACAGACAGGGCTTATATACTGATTTGTGTGTGTGTGCTTTTTATCTTTTAAAAAGTAAATCCTAATAAATACATATGGAATATGTATTAGACTTCATACCTCCCCCCTCTGCCTCCCATCTTTTTTTCCTCTGATGAGAATGGCAGGAAAGGATATCCAGGGTATCAAAGACAATTCTTGAAAACAAAACTCCACTTAAGACATTTTGTTTTGATATCGTCAAAGAAAAAAAGTTACTGAAATCCGGCTTTTATGTTTCTACTTGGTAGGGAAAAATATTAACAAAATACAGTGTCCAAATGGAAGGGGGTTATTCTATATAATAATTAAATCCATTAAAGAAAATAAAATCAAGACTAAAGTTGTAAATGGGGATTTATGCTGAGCAAACAACCAAGAAAACAGATCTTCAAGAATGCCAAATATTTTAGGCAAATAACATGAAATAGATTTCAATAGATATTTACTTATTATTTTAAAAAATATATTTCATACTCTCCTGTTTTCTACTTGGATCACAACTGAATATGAAAGTAATAATCAAAATTAGCTGTTATTAAGTTGGTTCTTGGTTGAATTTAAAACCCCCAACTGTTTATTTATGTGCAATTTGTACAACATATTTAAGCCATGGCATAGCTAAAAACCATTTTTAAATATGCATGTATATCCTAATTTGAAACTTTCTAAGCCAGTATTTATGAAAGAAGATCACTTCCCCCTTATTTGAAAGGAAACATTCTAAAATCAAAACCAAGTAAATACATTTCAATCTTCTTACTAAATTGCTGACTGGTACACAATGGATAACTTTTTTTCTTTGTTCTGATTTCTTTACCCCACCCAATAAAGCTGTCTTCTTTTTTCTGCTACTGAAGTCCTCCAACTACCTAACTAGTATACTTAATTCTGAAACTAAACTTTCCTTAAAATTAAGAAGAAGAAGAAGGAGAAAGCTCCTGTGTCTCATTAAAACGTCAGGCCTCTTTTCTGACTCGGCTCATAATTGTATCTTTTAAACCATAACTCAACCCTAATGTATACTGCTTGACACCCGCGTGTTGGGGAGCTTAAGGAAACGCCGCCTATGTACCTTTAAGACCGCAAGCTCACTCATGCTGCCTGGCTTCCTGCCAAACTTGGAGGCAAAAGCTGGAGGGTTTTTGCAAAATATCCTCTAACCATTGTCGTTCCCTGTTCCAACACTACCTCCACCACTCCTCTCTAGAAAATATATATATATATGTATATCTGGAGTGGTCATCTGCTCTCTCAACCCATCTCACCGTTCCTGCAGACGCCGCCTTTCCCCTCCCATCCCCCACCCTTGTCCCCGCCGGCTTTGGCTTCGCGGGGGAGGCCTGGCTGGCTTGGATTCAGCCCACTCCGCACGGGTCCCGGGGCACCTTACGCGCCCTCTGGGGCTCCCCTGCCGGGTCGGAGAAAATTCAGCCCTTACTCCCTCCATTCAGCACCCCGTGATCTTAATAGCACAAGGCCTCAGTTCCTGGGAGAGGAGCCCTCGAGCCATCGTCCCCACGCGGCGGGCGCAAGTGCGCGCGTAGGAACCCTGGAACGCTGCGCGGGTTCGTGGTCCCACGTCCGCCTTGGCTTTGAGGGTTCGAGTCCCAGCCCTCCTGCTGCGGAGCAACCAGCTTCTAGACTCCCCCGAATTTCATGGCCCTAAAGGTCACCCCCGCCTTGCGGAATCAAGAAACTTACTTGTTTTGTCATGGAGTCAATGAGGCGCACATAGAAATCCTGCTCCGTCCTTATCCCTAGAAAGAAAAAAAAATGTGGAAATGAGGGAGAATTCAGTGAGAGGAGATGGGGGTGGCAACAAGTAAACAAAACAAACAATAACAAACCACAAGCACATACAAAAAAAGGGGGGGGGGCTTCAAGGCCGACTGGAACTCCCACTGTCTTAGAAAACACAGCCAGGACCTCGCTCCCCCAGTGTCCAGAGAGGAGCAGCTGGCCTAGCCTTAGCGCTCTTGTAAGTCGGACCCCAAGCACCTGGGAATCGGGCGGGAACCCCACCTGGCTACTGTCCCTGCCCAGGGCGAGAGCCCCTCTGCGCTCGCCCGGAGCCATCAAGGCCCGGACGCTCTGAGCCCTCTGAGCCCAAGGGGTTTGGGGCCTAGAGTTTCGGCCAAGGCGAAGGAACAGGCCTCAGGAAAGGGAGGCAGAATGAAAGTGGCCCCTGGAGGGCTGAGGCACCACACCTGGCCACAGGTAACCGGGAGGGACCTACAGGACTGCCCTCGGGCCACTCAGAGCCTCTTCCTGTGAAACCTCCTTGGGTGAAACTTAGGAGAAGCCGGTTCACCTCCAGGATGGCGGAGGACTGGCCTTCACTGGGGGGTTTCGTCCACCTGGAGCTCTCCGCGGCCCCTGCCCAGACCCGGAGCCCGAGGATGCGAGCACAGACCGACCGGAGCCTCACCATTGCTGTAGAGGAGCTGGAGCCGGTAGTGAATTCCGTTATTGGTCTTTTCGCTGTTGGCTTCCTGGGTTGCAGCGGGACGCAAAGACACAAGAGACCGAGAAGAGAGGTCGGCGTGAGAGTAGACCAACTTCGAGGCAACTTCTCCTAGGCTGGGACCCCCGCCGGGCCGGCAGCCTGCCCCCCAGTGCAGCAGAAATTGCCGCCAACTGTGATCTCCCTCCGCGCCCGACCCCCCAACCCCGGTTCTCGACTGCTCCCTCTCTCCTGACAGAAAATTCCGTGGGGTGCGCACGGGCGATCCTCCTCCCGGGGCCTGGGGGCTGGAGCCTGGGCCATGAGAGGCAGGCGCTGCTAGTCTGGTGGTCTAGGGCGCGTTCGTCCCGGGCACTCGGGGCTCTTGAGTGTGGAGCCTGGCTAGCCTCTCTCCGGCTCTGGGGGCTCCGTGCGAACTTTTTTGGAGCAGGACCCAGTGGACGCGGAGGCCGAGCTGGTCTGGCACGGGAAGTGGCATGGGGGACCCCGAACAGGAGTGTGTTACTGATGCTTTGCACTCACGGAGGAGCGCGCCTCCCAAGGCGCCCGGGCCTGCTCCCCAACAGGAGACGAGGGGCGACAGCTCTGTGCCCACTTACTTTTTCCTTCTCCACGAACCCCACAAACGCTGTCCTCTCAATCTCCACGGGCTGGCCCTGTCTGTCGTAGAGGGCCAGGACGAAGTGGAAGAAGTTGGATTTCCTCAGATTGGAAGGCGGCTGCTTCTCAAAGTGAGCCCGGGCCAGACCCACCCCGCTGCGGCCAAAGACGCAGAGTTAGAAGGCTCAGCCGCACAGCGACCTGCGCCCCCATCGTCACCCCGAGCACACGCGCGAACCCTCAAACACCCACCTCCCTGTGCCCCCAAAGCACGCGGTGAGCGCCCTTCACGCCCCCTCAGGCGCCAGGGGACAGAATACACATGTCCCCCTGCATGTCCTCCTCCTCCCTCCCAAGGGCAGGGGCGTCCTCAGAACTCGCTTGAGAGGTGTGAAAGTTTTGTTTGGATTTTACGCGGGAGATGAAACGCTGTAAGCATTTCCCCCGACCTGACGCGCGCTGCGCGGGGAGGAAGAAAAGTGGCGGTGGATGAGGTGAAGCCACGTTCGCAGAACAGAGCCCAGAGTTTACAACTTAGAGGGAGGGAGCATGGGAGTCAGTTCCCGGCACCCCTCGAAACTCCCCTCTGAGCTACCCGGGCAGGTGGGAATGGATGGGGAGCACACTCGGCTTCCTGTGGCAGCAGCCACCCTCCAGGGAACCCCCAGCGCCCGGGCCAAACGCGGGTGCCCGGCTTTGGCAAATCACATTTCCTTCACCCCAAAAAGCATGGGAAGGGGGTCCGAGGGCGGGACTCGGAGCTGTTGGGGGTGGTCGCTGTGGGAAAGGGAACTGAGGTGTTTTTTAAAGACCTGTCCTGACAAAGTTTCACTGTTCCACAGAAATCCTCGCACTCATTCCAGAAATCCTAAAGGCCGGGGCTGCTGGCTGGGCGCGCCCGCCGGGGACTGGAGGCTGGGGCGCCAGGGGCGCCGGGCGGCCACTGACAGCCAGACCTGCCCGACACCAGCGTGCGCAGGCACACACACAGACACGCGCGCGCCCCGCACACTCACACTTTCGCTTCCAGCCCAGTTACCCAATTCACTCTCACTACCAACCACCCCCATCCTTATGCTCAGTGGGGATGGGAACAGTGTTGGGGACACTTGTCCCTAGCCCCGGAAAGCTGGAGATGATATAATTAGTCATCTTCCTTCTTCCCCTTCCGCACTCTTGAGTCCGATAGGGCCTGGGGCCACCAGGTCTCCCACTCCCCCAAGCCAGCTGGTGGCCTTGGGAGGGGGTGGCCATTGCTCATTTGGGACCAGGAGCCCCAGGAAAGGGAGTTGGGTGTGCTCAGGAAAGTTCCCTCAGGTCAACCTCCAAGGGCAATGCCTCCAGGCCACCCAGTCTAGCGTCTCGGAGCTTCGAGTGGGAGAGGGGTTGGAAGGGACCATGGTGACAGGGGGTGGGGAAGACTTTTAGAAGATGTCAGACTTAAAGTTGGGAGTTGCTATTCTACCGGTAGACTGAGAAAAACTAAAAGAGAAGGGGAGGGAGAGAACCAGAGAGCAGAAATAAGAGAAAACTGGAGGGAGAAATGGAGAGAGAAAACAGGAGAGACAGGGAGATGAGTGAAGGAAAAAGAGGAGAAAGGAGGGAAGTGTGAAGAAAGAAGAGGAGGAAGGAAGGAAAGAGGAAGAGAGTGAAGGAGATATGAAGGGAAGGAGGAGAGGAAAAGAAGAGAAGAAAATGAAAGAAAAAAATGAAAAAGGAAATAATGCACGAAGAGAGGAAAGAAGGGAAAATGAAAGGTACAGGAGAGGGGGAAGGAAGGAAGAAAGAGAGGGAAAGAAGGAAATAAAAAAGGAGGGAAGAAGGAAAGGAAAGAGAAAAGAAAGGAAGAGAACAGGAGGAAAGAAGAAAGAGAAAGGGAAAAGAGAAGAGACAGAAAGAGAAATAAAGAAAGGAAGAAAAAGAGAGAGAAAGAAAGAAAGGGAAAAGGAAAGAAAGAAACGAACAGATAGCCAGACGAGAAAGAAAAAGCGATCACATAAAAACACAGATATCCAACATCGTGCTGGTGAGACGCCTCTTCTGGGTTAGAACAAAATGAAAACAGTCACGGACGAGGCAGGGGAAAGTGCCGGCGGAGCGCGGGCTCCTCGCGGGCAGCTCCGGTTCTCCAGCCGCAGGCGACCGAGGCGGCGCGGCTGGGAGCGCGGAGCCCGGCGGCGGCGAGCGGAGCGGCGGACGCACCGCGCGGCCCGGCCCCGCAGCGCCGCCGCCGCCGCCGCCTCCCGGCTCCCCGGCTCGCGTCCGCCCGCTCGGCCGCGGTCCCCGCGCGGTACCCACCTCTGCGCCGCCGTGTTGGCGTCCAGCACCCCGGCGCCCTGCATCCACGTCCGCACCGCGTTCATGCCGCTGCCCAGCGGCTCTTCCTTCATGCTGCTTCCACTCCGTTGGATGCTTTCCTGAATCCCAAACATGAAAACAACCTTTTCTTGTGGAAAATCTCCTCCCCCTTGAAAATATTAAAAAAAAAAAAAAAAAAAAAAAAAAAAAAAAAAAACCAACCAAGAATTTTTTTTTTTTTTTCCTTTTGGAAACGATGAACTCTCGCTAGAAGATCAAGGCGGGCTGGAAAGCAGATTTTTAAAAAATGTAAACCTTTGCTCAAAACTGAGCGAGAACCCGGAAAAAAAAAAAAAAAAGAAGAAGAAGAAGAAAGGGAAAATCCAACGAAAAGACCAAAATAAAAAAATTAGAGATGTATGCTTGGCTGTTGGGGGTTGTTTGGTTGGTTGATTTTTTGGTTTGGGTGCTTTTTTTTTTTTTTTTTTTTTTTTTTGCTTTTTTTTTTTTTTGTAATGATCACAGGCCGGTGGACAGGAGGGGCTGGAGTTTCCTTTTGTAGAGGTACCCTTCACTTGAAGCAGGAAGAAAAAAAAAAAAAAAAAAACCTGATGGCAATTTAAGAAACAATAGAATCAACTCGCGCTGCCGGCTTTGCTACTTCAAGTGTCATTTTCCACAACCAGGCAAGTTTTTTCCTCTCTCTCTCTCTCTCTTTTTTTCCTCCTTCTCTCCCAACCAAAGATGTTTCTTTCCTTTCAGTGCGTACAGATGAGAAGGACGCTGGCTGCCGTAGACAGATACACCAGAGAGGGTGGGGGGAGGGGGAGAGGGAGAGAGGAAAGGGGGGGAAGAGAGAGAGAGAAAGAGAGAGAGGAGAGGGAGAAAGAGAGAGGGGTGGACCCTGCTGGATGGAGATTCTGTTTTCTCCCTGCTAAAATAGAAGTGATTTGCAGGCTTTCCCAATGGAATCCAGTTTGACTCTCCCCAGAGCTAAACACAGGCACTCTAACCCCAAAGGGAGGGGGCGGCGCCCGAGCCCCGCTGGCCCGCCCCTTCATTTGCATAACGTCATCTTTCCGCCTCGCCGCAGCCAATCGCGGCTCGGGAGCTGGCTCGCTGGCGGCGCCAGGCCACGCTCCCTCATTAACATCCTTCTCCGGGTGGCGCAGGGGAGCGGGCCAAAGTTCCCCGCAAAGTGGCGAGCGAGGGAGCGCTGAGCGCCGGCGCCTGAGCTGGGGAGGAGCGGGTCTGAGCGAGGACCGAGAGGGCACGGGGAAGGGGAGGGGGTATCTTCCCCCGGAATTTGAGCTGTGGGTCTGCATCCTGGGCATTGCAGTCCTTTAGCATCCTCTCGCCGCGCCCTGAGCGCGCTCGAGGTTCACAGGCTGCGCCCTCCCGGGGCTGATGCCGCGTCCTGCTCCGCTGTTCTGGGACGTCGGGGACAAAAGTGGAGGAGACGGGAGAGCCCGGGCAGAAAAAGCAGGACGCGCGTCCCAGGTGCCCACCTCTTCGCTTTGAGGCGGGGTGGTGGGATGGAATATGGGTGCGCGAAGTCGGGGCTGGGAGCTGGCGGAGGGGCACCGCCTCCACGTCGGGAGGGGCGGGTGGACCCTGAGTCCCAGCAGGTGAGGCGCCGTGGGTCCCCAGGGAGTGGGGACCCAAGCTCTGCCCGGAGCCTGGCCTCCGAAACGCTTTTGCTTGGCCGCTAGGCTAAAGGCTGCCAGCGTGCAGGCACCGTCCTCACTCACACGCTCACTTCTCTCGGGCAGTCCTCGAGATACGTGAATGGCGGGGTCGAATGTTCTCCCTGGGGCTGCGTCAGGATCTGTTTTTAAATCTTCTCAAATTCAATCCCGACCCCTCACCCCTACCCCAAAGTAGTTTTTGTTGTATTTTTTTAGTAACCACCAAAACAACAACAAAGTATATCATCTCTAATTAGTTGGTTATTTGGTGTAGGATTTTTCTCCTCCCTCTCACCCTTTCTGTTAAAAAGGAGGGCTTGAGCAAACCCTTCCCAACTTCTATCCCTGCCATATGGAAATAGAGACAGACAGACAGAAAGCCAGACAAGAAGAAAGGAAAAAGGGAAGAAAGAAAAGAAAGGGGAAGGAAGGAAGGAAGGAAGGAAGGAAGGAAGGAAGGAAGGAAGGAAGGAGAAAAGGAGAGAGGGAGGAGGGAAGAATGGAGAGAAGGAAGGAAGGAAGAAAGGAAAGAAAGAAGGATGAAACTGTCTCCTACCTCAGGCCTTTCAGCACATATGTCTGTGGTGGCAAAGGAAATAACTAGAAATTTCTGGGTAATGTGCCCCATCATTTTTTAGCAGGTTGTAACCCTAATAAGCACATGGTGAACTTGTGTTTCATTGTCCTCAAAGGAACATCCTGACTGCAGCCAAATCTGCTAAGGACTCCTTCGGGGCAATTCTCTGCCAGAAACCCAGGTCCCCTTTCTTGGCCCTTTGATTTAGGAAGCTCATGGGGTCAGTGATGGAAAAGTACACATGCCCATATTGCATGGAGACAGGCGAGAGTTATGCTTTGTGCTCTTGGCAGAGCAGGAAACTGGAGCCCTTCCTGATTCTGAAACTGTATGAAAGAGTGTATTCCTGGCCTGCGGGTGCATGGCCACTGTCCTCAAATACTGCTTTATCTCTTGTGCATGAGACCTGCTGAGCTCTCATACCATTCAATCTGGACTTCTTGTGTGCTGAGCACTTTCTCCCTGGTACCATAATTAATGCCATCTCCTTTGAGACACCCCTGAAGAGACTGGCCTGACCCATCAGGATCCCCAGAGCATCTATAAGAGTTCCTAGCATACAATACTTGTTCAGGAGGAGTGTGACGATGGAGAGACTTAAAGGGTTATAGGTTTGTAGGGAGGGGAAAAGGGAGGTGGACCTTCTCTACCTCTATAGAATTGTAATGCACAGTTAAAACTGGGTCTCCAAGTCAAGCTTGGAGCTTCCCAAAGTTCCAAGATTCATTTGATGCTCCGGGTCCAAGGCGGTCCCCAGAGCCAATCCGGTTCCCTGCCTGGGCCATATTGTCCAGCTCAGACAGAAACTTTCAAGGTAAAGTGATCAGGAAGCATTGGTCCCAGATAGCCTTGGCTTAAGACCCAGGGCTCCCTCTCCTTAACTTCTTGAGACTCCATTTTACTCTCCATTGAACAGTCTGCAGGACTCCAAGTTGAGTCTGGTGGGGTACATTCTCCAGTGATGGGGAACACACAATAAGGGAACAGATCACTGCCAAAGGGAGGTGGCAAAAGTGCCAGGGAAAGGAGAGACACAGTTACCCCAAGGTCCAGGATCAGTAAAAGACACATGACAGATTTCTGGGATTAGGCAGAATCTATAAGCATCTGCAAAGGATATGTTTGTTGAGGGCTTGAAGCTGAATGACCCAAATGAGAAATTGGCACAGAGAAAGAAGCCCAATTCCTACCCGAAAGCCAGTCTACCCAGGAACTAAATATGTAGGAGGCAATTTCCACATCCCCCAGGCCAGAGAAGGAAGAAAAATAAAAGGGGCAGGAATCTTTGGCTAAGACTAATTCCCTCTGGCTGTGCAGAAGCAGCACACACCTTACCTGGGATGGTGAGTGTACTTTATTTTAATCAAGCAGGGTGTATTCATAGCTTTTCTTCTGGGTGTCCTTGTGCTTTCAACCTGGCTTTCTCATCCTCTAATAAATGTTTAAGTAGGAAGGAGGCTAAAGAGAAGGTGGAAAAGAGACAGAGAGAGTGACAGAAAACTGAGAATGACACCCAGGCCAGCAGAGCAGTAGCTTTTTGTGGATTTTCTCTGGTGAATATTGAGCCGGCAGTTGCAATCTTAAAACTTTGAGAAAGAACTTCTTAAATACCTCTAAATCTGCCCCTCATGGAAGGTTAGCACCACCTCCAGAGACAAGGCATGTGTGCAGAGGGATGGCTATAAAGTATGTACTGAGACTGCCTTTATCCTTTTTGCTTTGTAGTCACACCTCCTGTAAAGAGATGTACTCGTATGTACAGCATTGCCTAGGCTTTATAGCATATCTTGATTTGACTTTAGGCTAGTTTACAACAGTAATCCCCAAACAGGGCTCGTCAGCCTAATCACATGAGGAAGGGCAGGCAATCTGTAGAAATGCAGATTATCAGGACTTGCCCAGGCTGCAGAATCAGAATCTCTGGTGTTAGTGCCTGGAAATCTGCATTTAAAGATATTTGGAAACTCCTGGTTTAGGATCTATGTAAGAGAGAAGGAAGAGAGGGAGGGAGGGAGGGAGAAAAAAGAACCTATGCGTGAGGAAATATCAGAATGAGTTTATAGCTGAAAGGAGAAACTAGAGAGGTTTAGTGTGTCCCCTGGAGTCAAGTCTCCCTGCTGAGCGCCTCTACAACTCCCAACTGCTCCTCATGGCCTGCAGGGCTGCCCGGCTCCCAGCCGCTCCCCTCGCTGGAGGGAGCTCAGGCCCAGTGCGCAAGCCCCCAACTTGTGCCCCTTGCCGTCCCTCTTGAGACTCCCGGAAATCAATTCCCTTTCCCGAAGGGCGTCAGCCGCCGCAGTAATTTCTGGGGGCTTAAGTAGACACACACCCGCCCCCCAAAAGAGAAGAGACCAGATAAATACAGCCAAAGTAGGACCAGAGGAAAGGTCCCGGCGAGAGAGGGAATCGTCTCAGCTCGTCCGCCCCCAGGAGGCCAGACTCGGGACCTGTCATTTAGAAAATTCCCTTGATCTGCGCTCCGCTGGTGAGGGCGCGCGGGTAGAAGGGCCGCCTGTCGGGGGGGGAATGCCCCCTTCCCCTGCCACTTGCCCGAGCCAGCTTCGAGCGAGGCGAGAGGGCAGACGCCTCCTTCAGTGCTGGGAAGAATGGAAAGGGTAAAAGAAAAATGAGGCAACAACGAAGGGCAAAGTCTTTCCGCTTGTGGCCCGCTCCAGAGGAGTCGCCCCGCAGCCTGGAGTTGGGGTGGGGTTGGGGGCGGAGGCGAGCAGAGGCAGGGGCGCGGGGAGGAGAGGGAGACCAGCGGGCGGCGGCCTGAGGGCCGGGAAAGCGAGGACCTGCGCTGGGCGCAGCTCGGCGGGGCCCCTGTGCGGCACCGGGATGACAGCGGGAGTGGCCGAGCACCCTGACCTGCGAGCCCGCAAAACCCCGACCCCTTCCCTGGGTGATCTCCACCCGCCGCCCTCGGGGAAGGCGTGGGAGCCTCAGGCCAGGGTTCCACAGGAAATCCGGACCTCATTCCTGCCTCCGACGCCCGGTGCGCGGGAGAAGGCCACCTTTGCTCGCCAAGAAAGACCCTCACTTCCAGTCCCTAGGAGCGCACCTCCCCCATAGTACGAACAGGGAAACTGAGGCCTAGAGAGGAACAAAGACGCCCACAATAGCTGGGAGGTAGGGACCCAGCAGACGTGGGGCCGTGTCCCAGGCGGGGGAGCGCATAGTCTGATGAGG